ATGGCGTGTTTTGTGAGCAAATGCTTTTGCATATTCGTAGTGTTTCCTCCCTTAAATGAAATATCTACTTTGCAAGTATTGCAAGTTGCCCTGTTGTCATCCGTTCTCGTAAAGTAAAACCAAACTTTTGAGCGTTTGAGCCGCCATGTTTCCTGCCAGGTAAGCGACGCTCCGCAACGTGGTGATGTCATTTGGGGCGACTGGAATCGATAAGGGAATCGTTTGCAAAAATGGCAAACAATTCCAAGGAATTGAAACAGTGGGAACCGGTTCTCAACAAGAACCGGGTTTCGATACCCATCCCTAGGTACGACTGTACCAGATGTTTTCTGTTGGTGTCTCAACTGGGACAGGATCATGAATGTGATGACCAAGAATTGAAGAGAAGATTGTTGAGGGTGGGAGTTTACCCTCCAACATGTGGTTTAAGTACCAGATAGGTGTATTTCTACCCAAAATGTTTATCTTGTAAACATTTTGTGGAGATTTCATATAAACTCTTTTTTTTTCTTTTATAGGTTCACCTAACCAATAGCAACTGAAGATTATAGTTTTGATATAATACTAATAATTATATTAATTAGTAATAATAATAATTACTAATAACAACAAACTTTGGTGTAAGAGCAACAACAGTTATATCCAGACACTTACATACATACAAACATATACGGTAATACAATAAAGCTATAGCAAATATAATAATATCTATACAAACACACACATGTGCGCGCACACACACACACACACACACACACACACACATATATATGAAGAGTTAAACAGCACCAAACCCACTGCACTCCATGAGCATCTGGCAGCACAGATGGCTGCTAGTCAATGACAGCCACCCAGAATAACTGGCTAACTGAAGACTGGACTGGACAGTCCCCCCCCCAAGGAACCGGTCCCATCCAACTACTGGCCAATAACCTGCCTCAGTACCACATGGAAGATGTCAGGCTGTCAGGCATCATAGCGGCTAAGATGAACAGGCACATGGTTTTCAATACATGAGCGGGGCACAGAAAAGAATTGGCAAACACCAGCTACTGGTAGACAGAACAGTTGCCCGAGACTGTAAGACCAGGCTGACCAACCTGTGCACTGCCTGGATTGATTACAAGAAGGCCTATGACTCAATGCCCCACAGCTGGATCCTGGAATGCCTAGACCAATACAAGACCAACAGGACCCTAAATGCCTTCATCGGCAATCCTTCATCGGGATACAGTCAGTCCGAAAAACTGCTAAAACTTTGAATGTGTGCCCAAGTGCAGTCGCAAAAACTATAAAGCTATCAACAACGAAACTGGCTTACATGAGGCCCACCCCAGGAAAGGAAGAGTCCCCTCTGTTGCTGAGGATAAATTCATCTGAGTCAATGTCAATTCTAGTAGCAGTAATCACAATATGTGGACATGATGTTCATGAATAAAGAATCGTTTCATGTTCATGTTTCATGTATTTGTCCGATTGCCTCTGATCTTTTCATTCTGTCTTAGTGCAGCTGCTAGTGTTCAACGAACAATGCAGAGATATGGATAAAGAGGATATGAAGCTTGATGAAATCAGCCCATTGGTGGTGACTGTGGCTGTTGGTGTAGAATAGAGTCCCTTAATACAGTAAATAAAGGATTTTCCAAACCCAAATTTACGAAGTGTGAGAAACATGAGAAATTTCCAGTGAAATCTTTAAAATACTTTTTCTGCACCTAATAGTAAAATTAAGGTGTTCTATTTGTTGATAAATGATAGCTGCATTAAATTGAAAAGCTTGTGAGTATTAGTGCAACAATGTCTACATTTAATAATACCAGTTTGGTTAGGGCAAATGAGAGTGGGGATGACTTTATTATGTCATGAGCTCTGTGCAGGCAGGAATGGTGGACCCAATGTGCAGACACTCAGAGGCAACAACATGAACTTAAAACAGCTTTAATGCTGAACTCAGATGTAACAAAACTGA